GGTCACTGGGGTTGGGTGCTCGGTGGTGGATGAAGCTGTGTTAATGGGAGAGCAGAACACATAAATGAACAATGAACCTGACCAGTTCCTTTTCTTTAGGTCGTTGAAGCACACGTGCCTAGCTTCATATTTGATGAATTCAGAACTGTTCTGTGAATATGGAAAAGGACCAAGGCTAAAACAAGGGACTGAGGATGAGAAAGGCACAGCTGCTAAGAATTGTCATTCTTCTGTGCTTTGAGACAGCTGCAGGTACTGCCTCACCAAACTGTAACCATCAGCTAGCCTCTGTTTTCATGCTTGTTTACGTCTTGGCATGATCTGCGCTGAATCTCATCCCCACACTGCACATCTTGTACTGCACATTATAAATGTGTCATTGCTTATGTATAAATCATTCAGGTTTTTTGTTCTAAGTAACTACTTGTGGAAACTAGACTTTTGTATCACAGATGAGCAATGCAATTGGAAATAAAGAGATTGAAATGCTTGAAATAATTCCAGTTTCCTTATTGAAAGGAGCTGGAGGGAGAAGGAGTGTACAGAGAAGAGAGGTTTGGTGTCTGTATCACTGCCATAGCACTAAGTGGTCCTGCAGTGCTCACCAGGAGCTCTCAGAACTGAGAACATCCTCTCATTGCAGCAGCTCAAAAGGCCTCATATGCAGCCAGCTGGGTAACCACTCCTCAGCTTGGGTCTCCTCTGCTGAGGCACTGAGTGCCAGCCTGTGGAGCTCAGTGCTGCTGAAGTGGGTTGTTTCACCTGCTGCCAGAAGGAGGTGCAGAGCAGGAGAGAGAGACATGCACAGAGAAATTAATAACCTCAAGTCTTTCATCTTGCCCCCATGAGTTCCTCTTTGAACTCGGGAACAAAAGAAATGTATCAAAGTATTTCTCCCCATTTTTAACAGTAAAAGCTTTTCCTTGAGAAAGCTCTAACTTTTCCCCAAATGCATATAAATATCCTGTCCCCACCACAGAAGTAGTTTCACAAAGTTGGTTCTGGACAAGCTAATAGAGAGAGAAAAGATTAAAACATGACAGAGCCTTTGTTACTAAGGCAGTTGTGACTAATTTCATGTTTCAGGTCATGTTTGAGTAACCTCAGGGAAAAATCTGGTAGCAGCTTAACAGTGATGTGAATTACTGCTGTAACTCAGTGAGCAGAAAAACCAATTGTGATGAAATCATTAAGGAAAATGGGGGTTCACAGTTCAAATATTCCTCCCTGGAAATGATCATTTCCTCTGGGCAGCCTGAGCCAATAAGGGGCAACCAGTCTCTGGCAGGAGTTGGGGCTGGGTGGGCTTTAAGGCCCATTGTGACCCAACTGTAATTTCATGAAATACATTACCAGGAGACAGAGAAGTGCTGTGCATAAGCAAATGCAATCTGGGTACAAAGAAAACCACAGTAAATCAACATTCTGTTTCCACTGTCACACCATTACCTGCAGTTCCTGGGTTACGGCATGGCCACAGAGCAGGCACAGCTGTCAGCTTACAGCTCACCCTTCAACACAAATACAAGAACTTGAATGAGCGACGGGGAGAGCAGTGAGCCCAGACACCCTGAGGCAGCAAATCATCCCTGTGCCCACTGGGAGGGATGCACACTGCAGTCAGATCATTGCCAATGAGTGGCATTTCAGTCCAGAACCAGATGATGACAGAGCTTCACACACCAAAAAGCAAAGCAAGAGTTGCTTGAGGGCAAAGCACACCCAGCACCTCCTCAAACAAGCAATCCAGCTCTTGCTGGGTCCTGCTCTGCAAGAGGACCTACACCTGGGAAGCCCCATGGACATTCAGGCTCTCAGTACTCAATCAAGGCCATACACTATGAAGTTCATAAAACCCCACACAGGGCAGCCCGATCCACCCAATGCTGGCACCCATCCCTACTCCCCATTAAGCCCTTTTCCCTCCAAACGACACCCAGCAGGACTTCAGTGCAGCTGAAGAAAATCCAAGTGCTCCCCTGGAGAAACAACCATTGAGATAGAATAGGCGAGACCATTTCCAAGTCACCTATGAGAACACAGTAAACCCCACGAAGCTGCCTGGGTGCTGCTCATGGCCTTGCCTTTAACGAGCATCGTATTTCAGTGCATGGATTACAGATGTGCTTGAAGCCTGGTTCACATGCTCTCTTCACATCTCTTGAGCCTCTGAAAACACCCCCAGCAAAGCCTGGAGCATCTCATGCTCCTGCTGTAGCACACAGCTGCTGGTGCAAAGGCTCATTCCATGCTTAGTTGTGTTTCCCATGATTTTTTCTCCTTTATTCCTTCACTGACAACTCCCAGCCTCCCATTCCCTTATTGGCTGCTGCTGCAAACTGAGCAGCTCAGGAAGGGCCTTGGAGACTGCAGGGTCTCATTCCTGAGCACTTACAGCTGGACACCTGGGCATCTGTTTCTGCTTTATGCTACTTTGCTTACAGTTAGCAATGGTGTTCAGTTACTTCTTAAAACACCCCATCAACTTTTCCTTTTAGTACCTTGGATAACTTAAACGCTGCTGTTCATTGCACAAAATGGAGCAATCCATTTTAACTCTTCCTCTGCTCCTTTATTTTCCTCCCAGATTTCCACAGATGTTTGGAAACCCCCCCCAACACTGCTGCTGTTGCACACACATTGTCACGACCCGATGGTAAGCCAACTCAAGAGTACCTGTTCAAAACCAAATCAGTATTCAGCAGAGCTTGGGCAATACAGATCAGGAACAGCAATTGCTGCCTGCTGGTACTTGCTCCCTCCCCAAACACACCGCAGGTAGCAGTGTGACAGCTCTAAGTGTAAAGCTTCCAGTGCTCCTCAGGTGTTAACACTTCATTCACATCTACAGGAAATGATGCACTTCTCTTTCCTGAAGCTGCAGAACACAATATTTAAGGCTCTGTTCATGCACCACCCCAGAGAGGCACTATAATATCTGAGACTTCTAACATCTCATTGTACTACTGCTGTCAGAAAGGCAATCAAGGTATGAACTCCAAACTCAGCAGCTGGTCCAAAGCTAATCAAGCACTCTGTATCAGGTGATAAGAGGGAATGGGGGGGAAAGAAAACTACCACTGTTGAAGCAGGCATCAAACATGAACCCAGAACAGAGGAATCACTCCTCGCATGGAACCCAACACCGCACACCCGCATAGCAGCTGATTCTTTTTAAAAGATGAAACTAAGAAGCCTCTTCACCCCCATTTTCTGGTGAAGTGCACACTTAAAGCAAATAAAAAGAAAAATCAAGGACAAAAAAGCAAAACAAAAGACCCAAAACACTTCACCATCACCAAACAAGTTTCTCCCATTACCTCCAAAAAATGCAACGCTGTCATGCCTGAATCAACTCCACCTACAAATGAGCTTCTGTAGCACTTCTGGGCAGAGAGGGCACCTTACCTTGCTCCTACCTGTGGACGTTGCTCCCTAACCAGCAGCTTTACTTCTTTTGCCCACATTTGGCTCAGGAACTCTTTCTGAAACCACGATACTTTGCTCTTGCACAGACATGCAGTCAAGATCTTTCTCTCCTCTGCAGTTTTCAACCAGTGATATTTAGCCTGATCAGCAGGACACTGAGCCAGGCATTGGCTTCAGGAAAAAAAATTGTGTATGCATTTAAGCACTTTTAAGCACACTGGTATTTCCTGGTAAGTCAAGACCCAATTGAAGTCATCATCCAGAGATACACAAGAAATCTACAGGTATAACATTTTATTTAAGTTAGCTGAGGGTGTGTATTTGGCTCAAGATTGTTTATCTTTGAACTGAAAGAGACTGACCGTAAATAATATTAGAAATAGGAAATGTAAGAGCAGCCAATCTTCCCAAAGTTGTCACAAGCTCTGGAAACACTTGTATAAGTGCCAAAAATTTTGCCTCCCCTCACCAGGGGCATCATTGAGTTACCATAAATAACGGTACCTGAAATCTGAAGTCTGCATGCTCAGTGAACATGCCTATAGGTATCAAAGTGACACAGATATCAAAAGTGATCATGGTTAGAAAAATATACACATTTTTGTCTCATCTGGAGAAGTCTTGGTCATTTGAAATCTCCATTGAATAAAACACTAAAAAAAAAAAAAAAAAAAAATCTTTTCCACAGATTTCTTCCCCCCATCCAACACAGAATGTGTATTTATATACAGCTTATGCAATCTGTCATTTCCAAAACATACAGTCCAAGTTTTTAAGTACAAAAGAACACAATGTGTTGCTGCTCTCTAGACCATACTGACACACTGCTGGTTTGGCAAGCCAGAATATGACAGCCACGTGGTGATACACAAAGCAACCGCACAAAAGGGAAAATGGAAGAACACAAGAACAAAGAAAAGCAAAGTGGTGAAGGAGGAATATTGCCCAGTAGTAAAACACAAACTCTCAAGTAGCCTGCTGTAGTATCTACAGGAAAAGATATATTTCAAGTATTAAAAGGACACTTGAATTGTACTTCTCACAACCTTCCAAGGTAATGTTAAAGAGTGCCTACTGGAAACAGCCCGCATTCCAGTTGTTCCAGTAGATGGCTGGTTGCTGTGCTTAAGTCAGTGGCAGTATTAACCTTCACTTGCACACAAACCAAGTAAAACAAAACTCAGTTTTTAAAACAAAGTGAGATGGGAAGAAATTTCCAACAAAACGCGTGCTTTCAGTACCTGGGTGCAGCAACCACCACGAGCATGCTTTGGTTATTACTTGCTTCAAATGGTTCTGGTGTAAAGAACACTTTCAGGAGAGCCCTACACATGGCATTTGCAAAAGCACGTAATGCTGCAGACATGGTGACATTGCAGCATCTGCAGTCATTTGCAGTGTCCTTCAAAGCATTGGTATAACAGTACCTCAGCTGCAACTGAAAGAGAACAGAGGCAAATCCTCATGAAATGGCCCAAATCAGGAATTTTCTTACAGTATTTCACAGAAACAAAGGAAGCCTATGGAGCTACTGAGCAGAAAGAAGCATGAAGGATAATAGCAGCATGCGGTTTACAGTTTTCACTTTTCAGTTTATTAATATTAGTGGTGCACTCTGCAATGGATGAAGCGAGGAATGAAAATTCTGACAGACCTGGCAATATGCAAACACCTCCTTACGGTCCTTGTAAACAGCTAACTCCTCTTTGAGCTTTAATTGCAAAGAAAAGAATATTTACATATAATATATATGTATATAACCACAAAACCAAAACTAAGTCAAATCCCGATCAAGGACATCGCATTTCGAAGAGAAGAAAACATGACACAATATTATTAAGCAGTACACGTCCAAAGATTTTCAAGGCGTCGTGATCTTCACGTTTTCTTTGTCCAGTCATATCCCCTTGGACTTCAATAGATGAGGGACTTCATTTCAGAGTAAATAAGTGGAAATATGATAGAGCAACTCCTGTAAAGGACAGCTGCGCTACTGAAGAAGGCTCGAGGCATGGTGATCCACGGCTCTGACTTAAAGCAGAAGTAAACGGCGTACAACGCCACGGCAAAGAAGTGGCCGATCAGCACCATTGGTTTAGGAGATAGCCTGTTTAAAAACAAGACATAGCACATGTAAATTAACAGGATTTAAAAAAGCACAGACAAGCCTTCAGTTCCCAGGTTGGGCTCTTTGCACAGCACAACCGCTCTGATTAAGGCAGCTGCGGTCCTGCTGTCTCAGCTGTGAACAAGCCCTGCCTGTCTTGGAGCTGCTGCACACCTGCATTCCATTCTGCACTGTGGTCAACAGACACCTCTGCTTTCTCTTCAATGCCAGTAGACTGAATCTGTCCTTATCAACTCCCAGGTAAGCCTGCACCGACCCCAGCAGCTTTAGCTCTCTTTCCAAAGAGACAAACGGACACATCCTTACATGTTCAAAGAGCAATTTACTGAGCATTCTCCAGCTTGAAGGGAGCATTCAGAAGATCTTGACAGGTACTTGCTTCTCTGTTCCTTTTGCTCATCTGTGGGAGACCTCATCCATCATTACTCTCATCTTGTCAAGCACGAAACATCTCCACCAGCTCCTCTGTTTGAATGAGCAGAAGGGCCCACACTAACTCCCACCCATTTGTCATAGAATCACAGGCCTGGGTTGAAAAGGACCTTAAAGATCATCTAGTTCCAACCCTCTGCCATGGGCAGGATTGCCAACGGCTAGAGCAGGTTGCCCAAAGTCCCAACCAGCCTGGCCTTGAATGCTTCCATGGAAGGGGCATCCACAGCCTCACTGGGCAACCCATTCCAGTGTCTCTCCAGTTTGCAGAGGCATTTTTAAACAGCTAAAAAAAAGAAAGCATTCAAAGCTCCTAACAGAGCTTCAAAGTTCAGTATAATCCTAAAAACACTGCCTCACATGGAGCATTCTCCCCACAGAACTGACAGACTGGCTGTAAAGAATCTAACAGAGGTTCACAACTTGATCTGGTTCACACCAGCTATTACAGATATGCTGAACTTACACAGATAGCAATCCAACAGGACCTGAGACACATTCTCCACCAAGTCTGAAGTAGTGGAAACAGGCTCTCTTTAGCTGGTGCAAGGAATCTACAAAACAAAATTGAAATCACTCACAAATACAGTCAACAGATACTGAAAAATTTTGAGCATATATAACAGTGATATAAAAATCAAAGACTTCAGCATTTTGGCAGCTGCTGCTGTGAAATTCAGTTAGATTTCAACCTGATTTTACAGGATTTTATAGAGAAGCCACAGATTCCCGAATGCTGACACAAGAACAATTGATTTAAGTTACCCAGTGTTTTGTGTATTAAATAGTAACTCCAGATGCCCTTTGGGTTGCTATAGCTTGGTTTACACAACGCTAGAACTAACTGGGAAGACAACTCAAGCTAACTCATTAAAATCCTTTGATCAGGGCATTTTAGATACATGAATGTACATGAATATATGTGTGTATGCTTACATACCAACACACATGCCCTCCAGAGATTTTTAATTCAACAAATATTAATTCATCAGAAGTTATTTAAAAATACACATATTTACCATCTGTAGCAGCAAAAAGTTCATACAGTGCCTGGGCAAGAATATTCACTACGAAAGAATGAGACTTCTTTCTTGACCAGTAAAATGCTTTTTTGGCCTGCAAAAGGAACAAAATTAGGAAACACAGAACATCATTGAGAAGATTTCATTACTCCAAATTCAACTCGCACGAGGTGATGGTTCAAATCCAGTCTGCTTGAGCAAATCATATGCTAAAAACCACAATACCAGTGTGGGAACAGATCAGATACCATCCTAGCAGTCTGCCCCACAGCCACAGCACTCACAAATCACAGCTCTGCTCAGTGAAAATGCCTGATGTGATTTTTTTATCTGAAGAGTTGAGAACAGCTGTGCCTCAGAAATAACTTCCACATCCCTCAGGTGTATCCAACTTAGACTGCATCATCTGAAGTGGAACCAAGTTTGTCTAAGCTAAGTCAAAATAAATAAAGTTTCACCTTAAGAATGTCAGAATCTTCATAAAGATCTGGAATATCCTGAAGCAAGCTTCTCCATATTTTGACATCGTTTAAAACAACACTCATTCCTCCACCAGTAAGAGGGTGCCTTATATTATACGCATCTCCTAACAGAAGAACTCCTAGATAGAAGAAAAGATGAGTGAACTACTGCACAACTACCATATCATCTTAGCACTCAAACCCTGTACTTTGTTTCTCAGCTTATTGAGAATTCATTGCCACCAGGAACAACAACTAGAAACTGAAGAGAAAGAACAAGAAATAGAAGGGAGCACGGCTTTAACAGATTTAAAAATCTCAATTCCCTTATGCATACACACGCGTGTCAAAGAACGGACACAAAATTCAAGGCCATTTTTATTTTTCTCCATTTTCCTCCCATCATAAAGAGACCAAACACCTAAAAGCACGACCCACTGAGTTATTTAAAATTAAAAACAAAGCAGAGAGTGATTTGAAGTCTTGCAGCAATATAAACATTACTGTTGAATTGTGCCAACATGCATTTTCAAATGTATTTTCAATAACAGAATAAGGTAACTGTACTCAGCAACAAACACACATCTATGAGAACACAGCCTTAAGTCCAACAAGTTTCGAATGCCTTCCCTCCATCTGCTTTACTTCATAATACACACCTTTCTTGTTAACAGCTGAAGGAGGTAAGAAGCTGGCTGGCATAGTCCTTAAACGATCATTCTGAACTGCTATTAGAAATGGTTCCTTAAGGTGATCTGCAAAAACCAAGGTTCTTTGGTTACACTTACTTGGTAGAGCCTTAAATAATTTGCTCACAACTCATTGGAGCCTCTTCTCAGAGGCATAATCCTTCCAAACTCCTAACTCATAAGGCCAGCCAAATAATCTGCTCTGTGACGTGTCATCCAAGAAGGGAGAACAGTTATTGAGACAGTGAACTCTGAAGATAAAGCAAACCAACAGACCAGACTCACCAGGCAGTTGGGGATGAATGCTCTCAAGCATATATTCTTTCAGGTTCTTTGGCATTTCTCCTCGAATATCAACAAGGACTCGAGTCTCAGTTGAAGAAATCTGATAGATTAACACTGGACTAGTTTTAGCCAGAACAAGTTCGGCATAGTTAGTTTTAAACTGTGGTGCATCCTTCAAAAGAAGTGGGAGAAGGATTGAAATCAAATAATGAAGAGATATTAAACTTCAGATACACAAAACCATTCTCTGGCACTTCAAATAAAATCCTGTTTCATAGTAAGGTTGTATCATTTTTTTCCCCTTTCAAAACAGCATGTTTTCAAGAAAAAAAAAAAAAAAAAAAAAAGAATGCAGAAGCTTTCCATGAGATCATTTTTACTTCCATAAAGAAAATTACGGAAAGGAATGAAGTACAGTAGTCTGTAGTGTAGAGAACCCCAAGGGAAAAAAATCACAGGCTCCCAGCACCTTACAGCTGCTCCTCAGGCTTATCAAGTTTCCAGAAGAAGAGAAAGAGGAGGCACTCAAGTAGCGATAGATAATTGTAGGGCTAAGGACACAGAAAGTGCTGAAGCTCCTCCAACTCAGACTGTGCCTGGTAGAAGTTCTGCAGGGTTTTGTTCATTCTCCCTTATTTCTGCTGTTAATCCAACAGTTACTGCAGCAGCCGTGGAAGGCAAGGCAAAGCCAACCTGAGTTGGCTACAGCAGACCAGCTACCAACGTACATTCATGCTTTCTCACTTAACCTTACAGATCCTGAAGGCATTCAGGCAGCTGGTTACAAAGTACCCCATCTGCTGGGAGGGACACAGCGTGAGTATGCTTTTTGAGTATAAACAATTGGTTTTACCCAGAGCTGCTAGCTTGCACCTAAAACTCATGATTTTCACCCTCTGAACAAGTGCCTTAGCAACAAGAAAACTGTGGGGAAAAAATGAATGTCACTGTCTTAACACAAGCTAGTGAAAGCACCTATACCCAGAGTAACATAGAATCACCAAGGTTGGAACAGACCTACAAGATCACCCAGTCCAACCATCCACCTATCACCAATAGCTCTCACTAAACCACCTCCCTCAACACAAAATCCAAACATTCCTTGAGCACCTCCAGGGTCGGTGACTCCACCACCTCCCTGCAGCCCATTGCAGCACCTGACCGCTCTTTTGGATAAGTAGTATTTCTTAACATGCAGCCTGAACCTCCCCTGGTGCAGTTCGAGGCCATTCCCTCTAGTCCTACCACTCTCTCTAGTCTTACAGAGACATCTTCTAATGCAAACATTAGGGCTATATAAAATAGAGCACTAAGAGCAAAAACAGGCTTATGCAAGGTGTTGAAACTATTTTTTTTTCCCCTTCAGTATTCCCACCAACAAGCCTAGTTGGGCTGGTGCACAGTTTCAAGTAGCTATGCTGAAAGTTAATCACAAAGTTATAGAATGGTTTGGGTTGGAAGGGACCTTTAGGGTCATCCAGCTCCAACCCCTGCTATAGGCACAGGCACCTCCCTCTAGATCAGGTTGCTCAAAGCCTTGTCCAGCCTGGCCTTGAATGCTTCCAGAGAGGGAGCATCCGCAGTCTCACTGGACCCTTCAGGTACTGGAAGGCCCCCCAGAGCCTTTTCTCCTCCAGTCTGAACAGCCCCAGCTTTTTCAGTCTGTTCTCACACAGGAGGTGCTCCAGCTCTCTGACCATCTTCATGGTCCTCCTCTGGATCTGCTCCAACAGCTCCAGGTCCTTCTTGTGTTGTGGGCTCCAGAACCAGACACAATAATCCAGGTTATCCAGCTGGTTTAACCCTCTCTTGCTCAACTACAGAGAAATTATACACTTACATGCTGGCTTTAAGAGTAGATTTTGGTATTAATCTAACTTCTAACCACAATATCCTCTTAGAAAAAATGATCTGGTAATATAAATATTTGAAGAGCTGAAAGCAACTCTATCACATATGCTAAATCTGAGACAGTAAGTTCAGCTAGAGGTGGGACAGAGCAGACACCAATAACTTCAAAGTTAAAAAACCACAGATGCAAATTCCCAAGCATTTCTCAGTGCAACACAGAAATGGACAGAACAGCTGATTCTATGGGAAAACATCTCAGACTGGAGCTCAGGACAGTCCTTATAACAAAGCATCAATAGTTGTCTTTAACAAGACTACTTAAATCTTTCATAGACACATTCCCCACGTAAACTTCTACAATGCTACCTGCAGTTGTATTTGATTAAAGTATTTCTTGTTCCAAAGTCTGCAAAAGGCCATGTATGCAACTTTTATTAATTTATAAAGCCCTACCATACGCCCCTTCTGTGTGAGTCCACATAAATAGGCTCTACAGGAGGTGGGTGGAACCACAGGTGTGGATGGAAGGAGCAGCCAAGCAGAAAACAGGCCACAAAGAGAAGAAATTGTGTGGAAGGTTTCCAAAAAGTGTGGAGTCCAGTGACCCCAGCAGAGCCAACACACTCAGGTCACCAACAGTGTGCTGAGCCACCACAGGGCCACTGGCTCACAGCAGCACCAACAGCTGTGGGCCACCACCAAGAGGGCAGAGGCTGCTGCATGCAAACAGATAACACAGCATTACAGACGTATGAAGAAATACAGATCCTCAAGTTACACACAAAAGTTACCTTCAGAATGCAACCAACGAAATGGGATGAAACAGTGACTTTTTGGGAGACCAGGTTTTTTCTGAATTTGGAGAAAAGTCCATCAGCTACAACTGTCAGCGGTGCATGAAGTTCCTGCAGTGTAAGACAAAGAAGAAGATAGGGCATTTTCCTTCTCTTTTCCACAACAGTTGGAAATAACTCACAAGCCCTCCTTTCCAATTGCACATCAGATGTTCTTCAAAGCAATAATCAGCTTCTCCTAGACATGCAGTCACGTAACATAGCTACAGGGTCTGTGCCAGAATTGGATAAAACAGACCAGAAAAGCAGAGTGATTGCTATGTTCAGCCCATAATGCTCTGCAGGAATAAACAAAAGAATCACACATAAGCAACAAGTCTAGAACGTTTTAGTGTAAAAAGTGTACCAAAAGTGCCCAGATCTTTCTTAAAAGAACAAGCAGCAAATTGAGAGCAGTTCTCACCATCCTTAGGTGCTATAAACAGAAATAACAGGTACAGAGAGAAAAAAATAAGATAAATGGATTAGGTTCAGCTTGAAGATATGCACAAATTCCTAATGTTTAATACATACACTGTTTACAAACACGGAAAAAATTCTTCAGATTATTAATAAGCATTTTATTTGTATGATACTGTGAGAAAAGAACTAGAAAGCATTTAGAGATGGATGATTCCTTCTACAGCTTTCTTGTTGTCGTTTGCAGATAAATCAGAGTACATAATGACTGCAGATTTATGATGAGCATTAGTCTTTGGCCTTGGCAGGAGCAGAAAACAAAATCAATTTTCCTTTGAAGCTTTCAGGAAAAAGCATGCCATGTTTCATTGGCACCTCTGGAAAATAGTTCATTGTTGGACAGAAGCATTTGGTGAGCCAGCAATGCTAGTGTACATCCATGCCTGGAACAGGTTCCTCTTGGTGCTACACTGCTATAAAAGAGGCTCTCTAGGCTGGCAAATAATTCAACTCTTTCCAGACACAGAACTCCAGCACTCAGTGAATTTGCTTATCATCTCTGTACAGACAGGAGCCTCAAGGCCCTAAGAACAACACCCATGCTCTCAGAAATAGCACAGGTTAGAACACTGTCAGTCTAATCTAGCCAAACAAGCTGTACTTACAATTATTGCAATGAAATCCATGGATGCATAAAGCTCCCAGCTACCTCACAAGGAGTTAAGGATGGTGTTCCTCCTCAGCTGTCTTACAGCTCCCCACTCCTAGCACATCCTGGGGACTGCAATGCCTTTTGCCTGAGCAGCCTTATTACTCCTCCTCCCTCTTGGAGGAGTAATTTTAAAGTGTTTTTTTTTTTTTTTTTTTTGTTTTGTTTTGTTTTTGTTTGGCTTTTTTAGAGAGTGTATCCACAACTCCAGTACATATGTCCTACCTGCATAGGTTTCTCCTAAAGCTATTATAAGTTCACTCAATTTCTCAGAATTTAGCCAGCATTTTGCCTTAGCTGAGGCAAAGAACAATCAAACCAGTGATGCAATTAAAACAGGTCAGAACTCTCCTTGTGTGACCCAAGAGATGACTGGGCAGAGCATCTCTATGAGCAGGCACCTACCTCCTGACTTTCAGACACCTTACCCAACAGAGGCAGCATATGTTGAAACATGATTGTTTTTACACAGCCAAAGCACAACTCTGAACGTATTATTTCTTCCATTGGTTACTTGGAAATACTTTAAGCTCCAAACATATGGATTATTTAGGGGAAAAAAAAAACCACACCAAAAACAATAGTGCCTCTGGAGAACTGAACTGTTATCAAAACAACAGTAGGAGTTACAACAAGAATTTCCATACGATAGGACTGCACCCACAAGGAAGCAATCTCCCTTCATTAAAGCTTCACCTCTCTGGCAGTTACAGATTTCTGCACCAGAGCTCTGAAGTAGCATTGCTTTTCAAATGCTATACACACTTAACTCTATTTTCACAGTAGTTAAACAAAGATCAGAACTGAAAACTGTCTCACCTTAGTATCCCCAGTTTCTTTGTCCTTGTACTGAACACCCACTATGCAATCATCTTCTTCAAGCAGCTGTGTCACAGTTCCTTCAATGAATTTTGCACTGAAATAAAGCAGGATTTAGAAGAGGAGGTAGGAGGATTAAGGATGCCAACATTTCATTGTATCAGGCACAGAAGGAAAATGTCATTTTCAATAACCTTGTCTCTGCCACGATATTCTCTCTAAATGCAACACAAAGATCCTTCAGCTCTTTTTGGAGCCACATTAAATATCAAACACTGCTTGCCATTAGCTTCTGTTCCACGCTGCCATTTGGCTTGACGTTTGAGACTATTCTAAAGCTATAATGCTTAACATAAACACCCTGCCACCAAGCAGAACCCCTGCTTTTGCTTTAGGCATTCCCTGGCCAAAGGAGATGAGCAGAGAGGAGTCTGACACGTACAAGCAGCCAGCAATCAGCCCCCTGAGCACTTCCCTCTGTCCAGCAGAGCAGACTGAGGGAACACAAAGGCTGAAACCCCACGCAGAGGGCAGAAGCAAGATCCAAAGTAGCACTTCAATACTTCACATGTAAGCGCGAGGTCCCTAACTGACACAGAATAGTCCTCAATAACCCGTCCTGTTTAGGACAAAGCTCTGACAGTACTTATGATCAGACTCCAAACTGAGCATCCCTTGCATCTATCTCCAATTTTGGCTGTTTGGGTTTCACAGATCGTATCTCTTTCCACTTCAACCTCTTGTTGGATCTGAGCTGTTAGACACAATCCCAGCAGTTCAGACCCTGCAGCTCAGAACGAACACGCCTCTCTACTTCACAAATGTTTTCACATCCACATGGAATACAAAAACTTAGAGAAATCAGATGAAGTTCCATATGAGAATAAGACAGCCTGAGAGTTCAGGCCCTCAAAGGTAACAAAGCAATTGAAAACATGCCTAACAGGAAGTTCAACAGCAAGGGTATGTACCAACCTACCAGGTTAATAGCAGTTGAATCAGCATTCTGCAGGTCTTACTGGCTTCTATATTTCTTTTATAGCCATAATTTAACTAAGTGCTTATTTCCTATTCTGGTTCTAACCCACTATAAAAATCACTAACTAATGACACCCCACCTTTTTCCTCTGCAGAATTAATTTTACTCATCTGAAAGAAGTTCATGTTATCTAAAACAGATGAAGAGAAAGCATTCAGCAGTCATTACTCCCTATATTTTCACAAGTTCTGAGATGAAAAACAAAGCTTCACAGCATTACGAAGAGTATTTCATCTCTCTTGGGCCTTGACATAACATGCAGTTTCCTTTGCTATCATTACAATGGGAAGAAAACATACAAGAAATGAATAAAGAGTGGAAGAAAGGTAAGGGCTGAACTCAAGACTCAAACATCAGCTTTTGTAAATTTCTGCTGCAGGATTTCTGTATTGCTCATGGAGTTCTCCATGTGCTGAGGTGCCCAAATTTCACTGAAGTTGAAGCCGTAACCAAGAAAGCTTTAGCTTTTATAGCTATTAAATGCAGTCAGCATTGATTTTAACTGTGCTGCACAGTTGCTGTCTTCTAGTGCTACTGATTCATAGGATATAAGATATGATAAAATAAAGAATTTTCCACTTCAGAATACATGCGTAAAGTAAGAAGACAGTACCTTCTGTATTTCCCTTATAAGCATTACTGATGGGAAAAAACACAAAACACCCTTCAGAAGCAGCATCTAGAATCTATTTGTTTTTTGAAATGTTTCCTCCTCCTCTCTTTTAATAGAAGGAAATATCAACCATTCTTTATTTCATTAAGAATAGGATGCATCTTTAGGATTGTACAACTGTTGGGAGTAGCTCTCTCCCATTATTTAGTGTCCCTTCCTAGCTATTTTGCTCTTGTTAGCCATAAAAAAAAATTACAGAACATGCAAACGTAGAAGATTCCTGGCACTGCAGACAACATATCTGATAGAAACGACACCAAGTTATATCACACATTTCTTGGCAAAAGAAGTTCTGTGCACTGCACCCTGAGGTCAGTGCTTCTGGTAAAATATCAAACCCAATAACAGGCCTAAGAGAATCAGCTTTGTAGGCTCAAGGCTGCTCTCTCATAGGGACAAGCCAGTACCTCTTCTAGTTAAAGCCTTTGCTCCCATGAATTTAAAAATTAACTTGCCTCGAAGGCTAACGTAAGAAGTATATTCCATTCATAAATGTGTCTACAAAAACAGAACAAGCAACTTCAGCTGTTGCTTTCTCTCAGCCTTGCCCACTGGAGCTGCTGTGCTGGGGCACAAAGAAACAGCCAAGGAATCTCACACAGGGAACAACACTCCAGCACCCAGGCTGTGACACTGAGCAGCACACAGAACTCACTTGGGCTCTGCCATGGCTGCCCTTCGGAGCCCCATGATGAACTGGCCGTGATGGAAGGACCTTCCGCTCACCACACGGCCATCTTCAGATGTTGGAAAAGGAATTTCTACCTCCGACTTGCTCTCTAGGTCATGAATGATGTAACCATTCACCGTTTGTGCGTCGATACCTTGTACTGTATCTGCAAAAACAAACAAAAAAAAGCCAGCAGATGAGTTAAAGAAAGCTTTTAAAAGACTTATTTAAAATATTTCTTCACATGAAATCCAATTATCCTAATCAAAATACGTTGAGGAAAGAATATCATAGAATCTTCATAGAATGGCCTGGGTTGAAAAGCTCCACCATGGCCATCTAGTTTCAACCCCCTGCTGTGTGCAGGGTCGCCAACCAGCAGACCAGGCTGCCCAGAGCCACATCCAGCCTGGCCTTGAATGCCTCCAGGGATGGGGCATCCACAGCCTCCTTGGGCAACCTGTTCCAGTGCCTCACCACCCTTTGTGTGAAAAACACACTCTTAAAAATAGATTGGAAACACACGAGCAATTATTCCTTTTACTCATTGTAGATACTGCATTTCTTCATTTTTCCTGCATTTTAGATATGGCTTGCCTTATCTAAAAGCATAACTGAGAGCAGTAACTGTTGTTTTATATTTATCTATATATACATACACAGTTTGAAATGCACTCACCTTCAAGACCCAAGTCTTTAAGTGCATTGAAACCGCCAGGCTGCAACAATTCTCCAACTATCCTGTCAGGCTCCTTCAGATCCCTCTCTATTACAGTCACTTTTCTTCCATCTCTGGCAAGCACCGTGGCCAAGGAAGACCCAAGGACACCTGAACCCACAATGATAACTTCTGGATCATTCTGGGGCAATGATGTTGTAACTGAAGCAGCCTCTGTCAGGTGCATATCTGAGACATTTACTTCTATTTTACCCTGTAAAAAGAAAAATCCAAAGTTAGATGTATTGATGTATGTGTACCATAACTTTTGCATGGGTTTGACTTTGGACTAGTTCTACTTTCATCCAGCAGACCGAGAGCCTACTGATGGATGGATGGCATCTTCCAGGTTAGCTTTGTTTAAAATAAAATCAGTTGTACTCTATAATTGTATAATCAATGAATATACAGCTGTTGTAATTAAGAAATATACAAGAGAGTTTAGCTAAGCAGATTACCCCAAAAAGAACAGATGCAGGGCTCACCCTTGTCCTTGGCTTGCTGGAAAACTCCAAAAGAAGGGATCTCCAGCAGAGATCCTTCCCCACTGGCAGTCAGCTCTTAAATGGGTCTAGGAGAGGTGCAGACAGGCTTCACCCCTTCCAGCAGCACAGGTGAATTGCCTTCACCTGTGCTCCCATGGCTGACTCATTGCCGGCCTCAGGTGATCAGTCAGAGAGGTTCAGGCCACAATTCAGCAGTTCCCATACAGTAATGCAACAAAAATCAGGTAGGGAAAAGAAACAAGCAGACACACTTGATTAAAACTTCCCTCCTGATCTCAGCCAAACATCAATACAACGTTAGTATCACATATGCTGGAAGCTGAGTTCCTAGGAAAGGCAGTAAAACAACTGCCACATGTTCTTATCTATGAAGTAACAAATCAAAGCTTACATATCCATCCCTACTGCACAGAGAACTCAGCAATTAAAGAAACTGTTACATCAACTGGAAAATGTATTCTTCTAACCTTATTAAGCTGATTGAATTGAATCCAATTCACTCTTCCACAAATGCTTCAGCACTGCAGTGCTGACAGCAGTAAAAACATGTTCGCGTCAGTGAAATGAATACTCCGAAAAATACGAAAGCCAGGATTTCTGGCGGCATGGTGTAATGTTTTTAGCTACAATGTAACAAGGGATTGTAAAAGTAGCTGCAGGACATTGAAAAAAAGCGAGAAACTGGGGGAAAGGCAGGCTTTTACCATTAAAACCCACAGGGCATGCATCCGAAAATAGTTTCAAGTTGTTCTGTGCAAGCAGTCCGCACCCAGCTGAAAAGGCCCAGAAGTGCCCAGGCAGGGAGCCAAACAGTGTGACCTAGAGATGGACTGAATATGCATATCCACCTACTGGTGGTAGATTGCAGGGCTCCTGCCAAACTCCAGCTGAAAGCCTGGTGCTCTCTGCTATCACTGTAGAACAGGCTGGCTAACCGAAGCCAGGTTCTGTAACTGGTTATACAAGCAGCACTTTAAGATAATTCCCATATTGCTGTGTCTCCTGCTATCGAAATGGATACATTTTATCCAGAAACAAGAGGAAGATGATCACAGAATAGCAAAATGGCTGAGGCTGGCAGAGACATCAGGGTCTGTCTGGCTTTGCCTTTGCTCCCGCAGGGTCACCCAGAGCAGAGGGCCCAGGGTCGCATCCAGGCAACTTTTGGAGATCTCCAAGAAGATCTCCAGTAGGCTTCCCCTGGACAACCTGGACTTGCATGGCACAGAAGTGCTCCTGGTGTTCAGGTGGGACATGCTATGCTCCAGTTGTGCTCACTGCCTCTGGTCCTTGCACTGGGCACTGCTGAGAGCAGCCTGGCTCCATCCTCTTTGTACCTTCAGAACTCTGTGTGCATGGATGAGAATCTGCTGAGCCTTCTCTTCTCTTGGACAAAAAGTCCCAGCTCTCTGTGGTTCCTCACAAGTGATGTTCTTCTAACGTCTAGAGCAGGCTGGCAATTGAAGATACCCTTCTGCTAGCATAATAACCCATTACCTTGTTATTTTCTTTGAATACTCACGTTGCATTCACCTTCATAAAATCTCACTGTTTCTTCCATCATCAAAAACCAATGCAAAACATGACACATCCGTCACACAGGATGCAAGCACAACCCTCCCTGCCCTTCCTTCTCTGCCCTCACCGAGGCCAACTCCAAAGGGCCAACAGGCAGGCAATGCCTCCCAACTCAGGCACCACGTCCAACCTGAACATACCTTTCTGGATCTGGGTTGCTCGACTCGCTGAGACCCCGCAGCAGGTTTGGCCCAGAAGAAGCCCACCAGTGGCAGAGCAGAGAGAGCGTGGGCGAGCATCCCCAGGTGGGGCTTCTGCTGCTGCTGCTGCTGCCGGGGCGCACGGAAGTGGTAGCGATAGGAGAGCAGCAGGCCCAGGGAGAAGAAGAGCGCGGCGGAGAGCAGCACCTCCTTGTTGGCGTAGCTCATGAGGTCTCCACACTTCTTGTACACGTAGATGAAGGAGGCGATGCCCAGGAAAGTCCACATGGTGAGGGCGCTTCCCAGAGTTCTGACGTCAGCTGACGCTCCGAAAATGGCTTTTCACGTAATATACGAATAACAGAAACAGAGAAACACAGAGGCTTCCCCGCGACGGCAGCAACGGCAGTCACACGCAACTCCGCGCGACACCGCGGAGCTCACCGAGCCCTACAGGCACAGGCACCACCGGCGCAGCCAGCAGTCTCCATAAGGCCCGGAGCTCAGCGCAGCACCGCAGCCCCACGCGATGCCCACGCGACGCTCACGAAGCCGCTCCCCGCGCGGCTCGGAGGCTTCCCCTCGCCGCCGCCTCCCTGGGCGGCTCCTCAGCGCCGTGCCCGGCCCTCTCCGCGGCTCCGGGGGCGGCTGCGCTCCGGGCGGTGCCGCCGCGGCCTTCGCGCCCCGCAGCTGAGGTGAGGGAGCCGCCCCGCAGAGCCGGACCGGGCGGGGATCGCCCCTCACGGGAAAGCGAGATGAGGGGACCGGCGGCGAGGGGGCGTGGCTATGCTAATGAGCGCCTGCCTCCGCCTCCTGGTAGGTACCGCGCGCCCCGTGCCTCAGCCTCGTCCGACCAATCGGCGGTGCTATGCCGAGATGGCGCTATGGCCGGGCGACCAATCCGAGCGTGGGAAAGGCGGGGCTTGCGCGCGCCGGGATCCTAGGGCGATGTGACGCCGTTGGGCGGGGCGGGAGATCGAAGTTGCCGTGGTGACGGATGAGCGGGGCCGCCCCGAATCCCGCGCACCCCGCCGCTGCCTTGCGGAGCTGCGCATGCGCGCTGGCGGGACGTGGGACCCTGAGTGGTGAAGCGTTGGAAAGCACTGCAAAGGGAGGTGGTGGAGTTAGCATCCACTGAGGTATTCCAAGAAGGTGTAGGTGCTGTACGGAGCGACGTGGTTTAGTGGGCACAGTGCTGATTGGTTAACAGACAAGATGATCTTGGAGGTCTCCTTCAACCTTAATGACTCCATTATTCCATGACTTGTAAGAATTAAATCAAAAATAGGAGCTGGTAAAAGAATAGAGTTTGGTTCATTCATCACATCAGTCAGTTTAGGCTAGAGATAAAGAAGTGTGAGCTAAAGAGATCAAACACAGGCTCTTATCTATAGTAGAGACACCGGTTTTCCCCAGTTTGAACTAGATTTATTGTAGCTGTCGACAATTTTTGTATTTAACCCACTTGAGACTGAGCCGTTTAAGTACATCTGCGCTTGATTTCTTACGTTCGATTCAGTAACGTTCCTTAAGCTCTAAAATTTCTTTATTATGAACTGAGCTCCACAACTCAGCACTTTGGAAGACCAAACCAAGCCTTCTGGATGTGCCATGGCAGGCACCAAACATGAGCTGAAGCACAGTCCTTAAGCTGGAACATTTACTGGAACCAACACAAATCTTATGAGGACTAAGAAAGATAAATGAATTGGCAAACATGAGCCAAAAACTACTAAAAATAAAAGCAGGGTAATGCAGATGCACAGTAGGAGTCATGCTGAGGACCAGCGAAGTCTTAAGGAGTAACAGAAAGGAGGACGGTGTCTAAGAAAACAGTGCAGCGGGGTGATGTGAATGAAGATGGTGAGCTGATTTAAAGACTAGAGGCAAGTGTCATGTTTCATGTTACTGCAAACTACCAAAAATTGCTTTTCACCCCCATCCCCAGCCCTGGATCCTGATGGCTGCAGCTGGAAGGTTCCTTGCTTCAGCTCACTGACAACAAAACGTGACCCATGGAAGAAGAACTTTGTCTTCTCCGAGTCACCCAGGACAACGTGAACACTGTGTTAGAGATAGAGGACAATTGCGTATGGCTGGTAGAGAACAGGGAGCTTGGGTGTCACTGCTGCTGCAGGTTGTAATTAGATTTAATTAGAACAAAAAATAACACATTTGTCCTACTTCCAACACAATAAATCACCCTCTGTTAATGAGATGCTTGTGCAAAACATCTGTTAGGATTATGTAATTCCAGAGTAATTTTTTTTATACTTCCATACAGAGTGGATTAAAGCAATTATAAGATTCTGGTTTTGAATGAGACACTCACAGTTTCATCTGTCAGAGTCTCAGATATGTTCCAAACATTTCCACCCAAGACATCAGAAGACATCCCTCCTGTCTCCTAATTTATTCTCAGTGTCCTGGCTACGGTGAAGAGCTTGACATAATTAGATTTCTGTTTACAGTAAAAGCTATCTTTTGCTGCTTACAGTACTGTAAATAAGATGGTATTTCTGTGGATTTCTTTTCCAAAGAAAAAGAAACACCTTTTTTGTTTGTTTTTTTATTTCTGTGTTCTTGAACTTCAGTAGGATTTTTGTTTCTGGAATAAACTGTTCTTCTCTCACTTGTGAAACACTGTCAAGATGATGACTATGAAATATCATTTAATGATTCAAAGCTCAGGGTGGCAAATACGAACAGGCTGAAACAAGAATTTCTAAAATTACAAAACGATTCTGCAGGCAGTAAATAAGGGCATCTGAGCAGAGATTGGAGCTGACTTTTTGCTCTTTCCTACAAGCAGTTTCCCACAATCCAGTTTTTCAACGCAGACAACCAGCATTTGGCAGCAGTGTGAAATCGCAACAACCAGAGACGATGGGCTGAACTCTGGGGTAGATAAACAGTTCAGTTAAGATAGATTTTTCCAGTTTTGCAGAAGCAAGGTTCATAAGAATGCCACCTTAAGATGCTAACCCATAAAATACGGGACAGACCTCTAGTATGCAATCACAGCTGCTCTGGCAGCACTGCTTTAGGACAAATATCCAAAGTGTCAGACCTGTTTATAGGCTGCACAACTGACCAACGTGTGCTGCTTGAGACTGAACCTTGCCTTCCTTGGGCATGGTGTGATGGACAGCCTGGTCTCACTGCTCACACAAATGGTGGTCATCTACCCATGCTAGTAGATAGATGGGGAGGTCTGGTGTGTACTTTAACAGAAGAAAAATATCGATCTTTATGTTTCAGTAATCATCATAAGAAGAAGCAGAGCCTTCTCAGTGTTTGAAAGAGGAAGGTAGGAGAATTCCTGAAAAATTAGGAGGGTGACTATTGAAACTGCAATTATTCCAAATTACAGATTATTTGAACTTTGAAGCGAGAGGCCATTTCCAGAAAAAACAATAATTGTTATTGCATGTATGTCAATGGGTGTGTGAATGGATATAAAACTGTTCTGTTTTCTGTGGGCATTTAATTATACTGAGAAGCCAGGTGATTTCGTATCAAACTAGTACTGTGTAGTCGAATGTTCTCTAGAACTGATCAGAAGAACTCTGCAGATGTTTTCAGTAAACTTTCGCTAATGTCAAAAAAATAATGAGATACAGCAAAAAATTTGCAACAACTTTGTCAAATGTAAACAAATACACAGAAAACCCACAAAGAAGTTAAAAATATTATGAAGCACATCATAAAATTTCATCCCCGTGACATATTTTATTTTTCAGACAGCCAAACAGATGGTCAGCAATATTTTCTCGCACTCCCATCAGGAAGACAGTAAAATATTTTGTCTCTTATTTATTCATAAGTAAGGAAAAAAATTCAGTAGCTATAGTGTTCTTTGCACAATCTTTAAGACAACACCTCTTTTGAGGGAAAGCTGTAATGCCTCAGGAGTTCAGATTATAATTTAAAGTTACTGGGGCTTGAGGAATACAGGCAGCCTGCAGGTTGTGGTGTAGGAGTCATCACCTGACCCACTGGCCCCAGCAACTCATCTACCCACGTGTTCCCTCCTCTGTTCTGCCTACCCTGAGCCGTTGGAACTGTGCTGCCCATCACTTCATTGGATTACACATCATGATTTTTCAAGATATTTCCAATCTGTTGAACTTTTCTTCTTATGATGCAGAGTGGGCAAGTTCAGTCAATTATACCTGTAATGAAAAGTCAGTTGAATGAGCTGGAAGGAAAAGAAAGGAGAAAGCTAACCAGTTTTCAAAATCACAGTCCTCACACCAGCAACAACAAAGTTTTGTGTTTTCTCTTGACTTTGCTGTTGTTTTCCATTGATGTCTCCTAGTCTTGCTTTGCTAAAAACAGCATGATGTTCTCACAAGTTGCTACAGGCACATGCAGTCCTCATGATGCAGTATAGGAATAGGATTAACAGCAGACAGACTGCAGATACTGAGAACATAAAAAAGTGTTGAAGACTCAGGAAGCAGACACAGGGTAGAGCAGCATATTAATGTCAAAATATTGTTTAAAAAAAACAAAAAAATGTTTCCCGTTGAGCAGTTACACAGCATTTAACAGAAACGCAACCTCTGCAGTCTGTCTCCACATGCAATCCAATGATTTGTTCTCTTTACAGCAGACCCAGAGCTGGATCCCAGAGGCCATTTCTCTCCCTCGTGTGCTCAGACAGCAGTTTGTTTCTGCATAGCTGGAGATCATATCATCCCGAAGACAATTAAGTCCTCAACTTAGGAATGGTGCTGAAGCAAGAAGTGCACTGGATATATAAACAGGAAAGCATCTCATATTTGTGAATTCCCACAAGGTGGAATTGCAAATTACACATCAACAATAAAAAGGCATTCATTATACTTTCAGAACAGGTGAGCTCTAGAGGGCAGATGGAAAAGTGAAATAAGCAGAACGGAGCAGTAGATACAGCTTAGCAAATAGGAAAAAAATCTTAAGGAGCAGGACTTAATCTCCACTGACTCTTCGCTGTGATTGAACTTCTTCAGGTGAGCAGACTTACTTCCCAAGAGGGTTTATTGCCACATGCTGAATTGTTTGCTAGTGAACCTTTTTTACATATAATTCATTTAACATAAAGGTATAGGATGGGCAAAGTTTATGACTGAAAATTCCGGGTTGGAAATATCAATAAAAATGGGAATAGCCTACAGTTATAGTGTCTGGAGGGACACGTTAGAGCAGGATGCCTGACCTATAAAATTAGGTGGAGAGAATCCATACAGCTGGCAATTCCATCTGGCAGATTATTAATCTTCATTTTTTAATGAACTAAGAGTATCTCTAGACTTTAGGTGTATGTGATAAAAACTTCTGAAAATTCATAATCTCTTGGGCCAATAACTTCCACTCAATTCTGTATCTTTCACTACTATCCATCTTTACCATTTCTTTTTAGTCTTTTCTGAATCTACTCTTCTTTTTTTTTTTTTTTAATTAGGGACTGCAATTACTTCTTAATCCATAAATAAGTGTAAAAAAGTACTCCTAAGCAAAATACTCTCTTG